AGCTGTAATCTCGTGGATAAAATAATTGAATAAGTTACTTATTCAATGATAAAATGGAGGTCAATATTGAATATTAATATTTTACATGAGAAATTAAGTCACTTGCTTCCAGGGACAGTTGGGGCCCCAGGATAAAGTTGCCCTACCTCACAGAAAAGTGACATTGAAATTATTACGAAATTGATTGTTTTTTTGCCACATTATGCACAAGAAATCTGTTCCAGCATTAGCGAAGTGATAAATCAGCTGGGTTCGAAAGAGCATGACTCTTTTTACTATTTTTTATTTATTGGAATTTAGGAGTCTAAAATGTGCAGCATCCTACTTGGACAATTAAATATGTACAGACGATAAAAGCTTGGCCATTTTCGCCATTTTGTAAAAATATAATTTCTTATTAATTAATTCAACCAAACCTAATACAGAATGTACTGTATTATTGAAATAATAACTAAACAGGAAATAAAGTAATTAGGTAACCTTTAATTTGTAAATATGATTGAACGTGGATTAGATTAAAACTTTCTTCTCTTTTGTCCAATACTTAATTGTTATCTTTTCGGCGAACAGATTTTTGCTTTTTGTTGGGGGCTTTTTGCCAGCTTTCGTAAAGATAAATACCCGATTAATTCAAATTGGGCCCGTGAAGTTAGGTAGCAGAACATCGGCGCCACAAATTTCGGTACTAGGAGGACTGGTAAGTGCTACAATTATCAAGAGAATTTTTATAAGAAAATTGATAATTTTGAATCGGATACATTTATGTGGATGTATGTGGGGTTCCTAGTGTTCTCTCTAAGCGATTAAGCACAGTAGCGCAAAGAAACAAAAGTGCTACAGTCACCTCGTTATAGGGAACCACTAAGTGAAAAGGAAAATTCATAATTTTGCAAAAATTGATAATTTTGAAACAGATAGGGGTTCAGCATTTAAGTGGATTTATATGGGATTGCTAGTGTTATCCATAACTCGATCCTTAAGCACAGCACACTAATTCAAAGAAACAAAAGTGCTGCAATAGTTAAGTAAGTACCTACTAAGTAAAAGGAAATTTTAATTAAAAAAATCATTATTTTGCAATGGATGAGGGTTAAACTATTATATTGACCTATTATGGGGTTGCTAGTGGTCTTTTTAAGCGTAATCATTCAAAGCTACAACATTTTTTGGTGGCGCAACAGTCATTACCCTCGTTGTAGATTGTAGAGCACTGTCAAGTAGAGTTTTCATGAAAATATTCATAATTTTGAAACGGATAGAGGTTAAATTTTTATGTAGATAAATATGGGGTTGCTAAGATTCGTTTTAATCATAATCACTCAAAAAACAAAAATTTTTGATGTATTGCTACCCCCGTAAGTAATAATTTTTATAGGAAAATTGATAATTTTGAAACAGGGGTAAGGCATTTATGTAAATGTATATGGGGTTGCTAGTGTTCTCTTTATTAAGCACGGTAATTCACAGAAACAAAAGTGATACAATACTTACTACCCTAGTTATAGAGAACAAAGTACAAAGTAAAAGGGCATTTTAATAGGAAAACTCATCATTTTGCAATAGAGGAGGGTTAAACTCTTATATTCACTTATGTGGGGTTGCTAGTGGTTTCTTAAGCATAATCATTCAAAGAGACAAACATTTTTGGTGGCGCAACAGTCACTACCCTCGTTGTAGATTGTAGAGCACTGTCAAGTAAGAGTTTTCATGAAAAAATTCGTAATTTTTAAACGGGTAGAGGTTAAATTTTTATGTTGATATATATGGGGTTGCTAAGGTTCCTTTTAATCATAATTAGCCCAAGAAACAATATTTTTTGATGTATTGCTACTATGACACCCCTCGTAAGTAAGTAAAAGAGAATTTTTGTAGGAAAATTGATTATTTTGAAACGGATAGGTGTTAAACAGTTATGTGGATGTATATGGGGTTGCTAGTGTCCTGTTTAAGCACAGTAATTCTGAGAACCAAACATCCTTTAAGTGCTGCAACAGTGACTTCCGTGGTTATAGAGAACTGCTAAGTAAAAGGGAATTTTTATATGAAAACTCACTTTACAATGAATGAGGGTTACATTTTTATATATTGACTATATGGGGTTGCTAGTGGTCTTTTTAAGCATAATCATTCAAAGAAATCAAATTTTTGGTACCGTACAGTCACTACCCTCGTTGTGACGCACTGTTAAGTAAGAGAATTTTCATTAAAGAATTCATAATTTTGAAACAGGTGGAGGTTTAATTTTAATGTAGATAAATATAGGATTGCTAAGATTCCTTTTAATCATAATCACTCAAAAAACAAAAATTGTTGATGTATTGCTACGGTGACACCCCCCGTAAGTAAACGGATAACATTTATGTGGATGTATTTGGGGGGTTGGTAGTGTTCTCTTTAAGATCCGTAATTCAAAGAAACAAAAGTACTGCAACAGTTGAGCACCCTGGTTATAGAGAACTGCTACCGCTACGTAAAAAGAATTTTTATAAGAAAACTCATAATTTTGCAACCTGGTTACTTTTCCTGTATTAGATGAAAATTTAAATGTTATAATAAACAAGACGATTTCGGGAAAAATTTAATGCAAAACTCGTCAGTAAAATGACACTACTTGTCTCAGAAATTATAAAGTACTCGGCCCCGAGGGGGCCTCTTACTCTTAATAATGTGTCATTTTCTTGTTTTTTAAGTAGGTAAATAACTATTACTGTAAATTGAATTTCACGAAACAAACTTTGATTACAGCAAAAGAAGCCAGAACTAAACACCTAAAACGAATGTTACTCAACGTGTAAGGATCGAGTGTGGGTTGGGCATTGTAAAGTTACCCTCGCCAATTTTGCAAGTTTTTAGCGTAATGCAACGAAGATGAGGTAACGCTTATGTACTCGATTTTCCGTCGTCTGTCTGTCTGTATGTTCCGTCGAGATCTCAGACCCTGGCCCCTGGGCCACCTAGACCTAGAGACTGGGTTTTCGCTAATTGATATAGCTGCTATGGTCTATATTTGCCCGTTACTCTTACTCATCATTTACAGTTGTGTTACGCGACAACACCCACGGGTGGATTTTTTAATACCTGTCGCTTTGCAAAACAAACCTTTTGCCAAAACAATCAATAACTAACAAAAAAACAAACGAAAATACCCCTTAGTTTTTGGATTTTGTTATTGGGCGAGGACGAATTGCAAAGGGAATTTTCGAAGGACTTTCGATAAAAATAAGGAGTTTCGATATACGAGAAAAGCTTATACGGTATACCCAAAAATTGGAGATTCGTCGGGCGTATATAAGTATATATAGAAATTTGTCTTTAGTAAGGGATGGTTATGTTATAAAAGTGAAATATATCGCTCATTCCATCCTTGTCCAAATTACATTGTGCAACAAGTCGTACCCGCATGAATAAGTGGAATTTTTAATATAATTGGTAGAGGTTGGTTATTGTTCAAATTTACATCCATAGCTTTTATAAGCAAAGTCTGGGTATGCCGTATGTAGCACGTTTAACCACAAAAGTGATCTCCATATTCAAAAAAGGTAGATCTATTGCTGGAATTTTATTACTAACATAACGGCACTGTACTAAGAAGTTTTATTTATATCCGTCCTTATAAGATAAAATGAATTATGTAACAATAAGTTATACTGCAGGTTACATATAAGCACAAAGAATGAAAACAAGGTTTTCGCGTTAAGGCGAGTAACTTTAGCGCATTTTTTATGAATTGATCCGTACTTCCCGAAAGGTCATGCAACGCACGGAAAAAAGTTATGGCAACTTATAAATAAACAACTTAGCATTGCGCACATAATGTTTAAAATATGCGATATGTTTGCCTTTACTAGAAGAATGAAAATTTCCAAAAAATATCTCCATACATAAAAATGTTGACATTCCCCAGTTTGCGCATATTTGATTTTTACAATATGCGAAAAAACATCTCCATAAATAATGAAGTTGACATTGTGCAGTCTGCGCTTAATCGTCAAAATTTTTCTTGGTTGAAAACTGAAAACGGAAAAGTGACCATAAGCGCGCTCTCCAACACGAGTAGGAAAATACACTAAAACATCTACCAGACATAAAGTATGTCTATCTTTTAGTCAACATCAACTCCCCATTTAAAAATAAAGACCAAAAACAAATAAATAAAAGAATTATAAGCAACGACGTAATATGTTTCCACCATAAAGGCTCGGGTACATACGACGACCCCTTTGTGGGACGACAAAGCTGATTTTTAACTGGGTGGGTAAAAATACCTAGATAGTGGACGAAATAGTTCGTAAGCTTTTTCGACAAGGAATTTCTCCGGAGAATTCCTCTTAGAGTAATTTAAACAAATTCAGCGCCCTCAATTCTCGTTTGGAGTAATTGGAGCGATTGATTCCTGAAGACTTGTCATAATCTTCAGTCTTCAACAGCCCGAGCAGAATCATTTGTCATAATTTTCTTTATACGAATACGAGAGTAGAATTCGCTCTTTTTCAAATAAGAGGTTTTGTCCTTTACAAAGGTGGCAGAACTGGTTTTTTAGCGGGAAATGAGCGTTGGCGCTTAAAAAGCGAAATTTGAAAAAATAGTATTAACAAAATAATCGCGATTGTTTATCTTTTCCGTGAGGGGACAAATTTGGAAATAACTCCCACTGTCTGATCCAGTACAATGCATCATAAAAATGTTGAAGCAACAAAAGTATTATTTATTACAATTATAAACTTATTTATTGCGAGACAACATCCCAAATTTATTCCGCAAATAACAAATTGTATCTTGGTTAAACAAATGAAATAAATTCTAAAGGACTTTAACTGCACAGGTAGGTATAAAAATAAGGATACTCGTTTAACATTCCTCCATAATTATACCCTCAATTTAATTGGGCAGGTATTCACATTCCAAGGTAAAAATATTTGAAAAACGATTTGATTTTTCTTATTTTCCTTACTGGGTCAAGCTTTAGCGATATTATTTGGGTTTATCTACTTATCAGTTACCTATCGATAATACAGGTAGAGCAATTCCCATGCAATAAGCGCACCTCGAGGCAGCAAAACACTGGAATCGATTAGAGTTGCATCGCATATTACGGTCATTTAAGTTGCTACACTGAAAATCCACACTTCTTCACACTCGTCAAACCCCCGTGACTTTCTTTACAATCACAACACGATTCTGCAGTCTTTCTTATGGAATAAATAGAAATACGCGTGCGTTATAAATTTCCGGTTCGTGTGGGTACATTGGGTTGCATATTTAGAGTGAGAAATTGGCTCTGGAGCGCTCGTGCTTTACAAATCCAATACGCAACCCGACATTCTCAATTCTCATTGTTGTGGCCAAATTATTAGTATAAATATTAAAATTTTATCGCCATAGAGAGAGGTAGATGACCTTCTGGCACACCTGTCTGTAAGTTTACAGACTTCTACAGTCTCCACCCCACCCTCAATTTGGGTGCACCTTAGTAACGTCAAAGGAGAAGAGTTTTCGTCTATACCCATTCTATTTTTATATTGCACCCCACAGGGCGTAATCATAGGCACGCACAAAACGTTTCTGGAAAATGAGTGGGGAATCATCCGACCGACCTTTACCAATATAATGTAAACTGGAACAGCAAAAAAACCTTTTTGTTTAATTCACAATCCGAAATCTCTTTCCAGTAAGGTTCTTTCCCTTCGCGGGTGAATTGTTACATGTAACACTATATAAATTAATTCCGTAGTTTATTTGTATAAAATGAATTATTAAATGTTCACAAGAACTAACGCCATTGACAATAAACTAAATTTATAACGGTTTTTAAATAGATTGATTTAATTGTAGCGATCTTTCTAGAACATTCTCAAGGCACCATACAGTCGATAAGGGATTAGTCACTGGTGATTCGAGACTTCTTTAGAAGCTTTTTGTTTGCTGTATAAGCAAATTGAATTGTATTTGATCTTAATCAAATAAAAAAATTGCATCATTCACCTTAACTAAATTTAATAAAAGGCTGAACATGTATCTAGATTATGGTCTACATAAGAGTATATAGATTTGCAAATTTTGGGACTTTTAGAATCGAAACAAAAACTGATTTTAAGGACACAAGTCGGTGCAAAAACAGGAGAAGTGCCAAAAAGCTGTTATGGAGCTAAAAAAGAGAAAACTACGGTGGAACCAAGAGGAGGAGGATGGCAAGAAAAGATAGTGGTGCTAAATATGCCAAGCTTTCCTTAGTTTGACTTAGAAACCATTGCTTTTCAAGCTGTAAACATGAAATTTTGGGTTTAAAACGAGCTGGAATATCATACCCCTACAACTCAGAACAGATTTTGATTAATCAAATAACGCTTGTACTCACATAAAAATCCGGACCCACCACAAAATTGTATAGAACAGGATCTCCTCGTAGCTCAGGTTGTTTGGGTTACTGAAAGATCTCATTCCAGCCATTGACGACGAAGAGGTAGTTAACTAAAAAAGAATAAAGGGTCAGAGTAGGGTCAATACTATTCTAATAGCTAGGTTTTTTTTATTTCATGCAATTGTACAAGCGTATATTCTTTACTATTTATTACTTTTATTTGATGTGATCAAAATTATTAAACTTACTTTTCAAAATGTTTTACACTTAAGCGATACCGTCCCTACGCCGTCACTATGAGAAATGCGTTAATGCGGTCGTTCCACTACCTTATACAAGTTTCGCTTCTAAATAACAATTCAATGCCGAAAATGTATACGTCAATCGCGCCACATGACGCTTCGTTATGTAATAGTCTGCACAAATGCAACTGATAAATGATAAGAAACTTAATTTCCCACTCTTATCGCATTCATACATTCTCTCTTATGAAACAATGCAAATTTTTGAAAGTATAGTTTTTAAACGAAAGATTTTGAGCTCTCGGTTTATTTGGAGACAATATGCTTGTTTTGAAAATGTAAAATAAGACTAAACGTCCACATTCTGTTTTAGCTCCGTTTAGTTTTTTGTTACTTAATTGCCAAAAATAAAGAGCAAAATACATTTTCTTGTACAGAGACCTCAGGAGTTTGGAAATTGTACCTGGTTCCATGCTTTAACGCCGGCTGTACTTTCGTAACTTTCGCTTGGTAAAACCTAATTGCTAAATTAGGACTAAATAAATACCTGAAAACCTATATTGTGGGGATGCGCCGCTTGCACCTCCGACAGGAAACTAAAACATACTACCCTCATTGGTCAAAACGGCTGACCATGAGAGCTTATCCTCTCTGACCGAAAACTTTTAAAAGAAGGGCTCTGAACTCCACAAAGTGCAAAAGTAATTCATTCTGCTTCGACTGCGCTCTTCGCCTACAGAACCATTTCGCCTTCCTAGCTCGACCTCGCGCCACTCTCCACCAGCTAGAAGACCCGCATCCGCGCTCACTCCGAATCAACGCATTCCATGCACCTACAGGGTGTAAAGATAGTCCATTAAGAAAAACAGATAAACGTTCAGAGAGACAAAGTACTTACCTAGGAATGATCATAGATTGAAGATTATTGATGAAGGAGGGGGGGGGGGCATTATAAGAGAGGTAATGAACACAGTCAGGGCAGTACAACGAATGGGGAACCTAGCAGACTTCAACCGAAAGTATAGGGGAGCAATGCATGTGAAAAGTGATTGCATTGACTGCATAGTCGGTCATCATGTATGGAGCCCCAATCTGAGTGGAGGCGATGAGGATCAACAAATACAGAAATATGATAAGGGCCACACAAAAACAGAAAAAATCACATAAGCGCATATAGAACGGTGCCAAGTGAAGCCCTGTGTATCACTAGCAAAGCAGGGCCTCTGGAACTGGTAAGAGATGGGATAGAATCCATAATTTCAAACAGTTCCAAGATTGGGCTACAGCCCTTTGAATTTTCTTTCGAAATTGGTTTCTAGTCTATAACTTTTGATTGAGAAGTCTGATCGAAAAAGTACGAATTGTTTTGGATTCTACGCACCAAAATTAATTAAGAAAAAGTGTTTTCCCGAGAAATTTTGGTGCAGTCGATTTTTGGTAAAAAAGGAAGGTTATACACTGCCTTTTTTTGAGCCCCGAAAAAAAAATTGTCTTAGATCGACCCGGAAAAAAATTTTCTTATAGAATGTGGCCTGTAGAATCCATAATTTCAAACAGTTCCAAGATTGGGCTACTAGTTCAAAAGTTACAGCCCCTTTGAATTTTCTTTCGAAATTGGTTTCTAGTCTATAACTTTTGATTGAGAAGTCTGATCGAAAAAGTACGAATTGTTTTGGATTTTACGCACCAAAATTAATAAGAAAAAGTGTTTTTCCCGAGAAATTTTGGTGCAGTCGATTTTTGGCAAAAAAGGAAGGTTATACTATGCCTTTTTTTGAGGCCCGAAAAAAAAAAAGTCTCAGATCGACCCGGAGAAAAAAATTTTCTTATAGAATGTGGCCTGTAGAATCCATAATTTCAAACAGTTCCAAGATTGGGCTACTAGTTCAAAAGTTACAGGCCTTTGAATTTTTTTTCGAAATTGGTTTCTAGTCTATAACTTTTGATTGAGAAGTCTGATCGAAAAAGTACGAATTGATTTGGATTCTACGCACCCAAATTAATAAGAAAAAGAGTTTTCCCGAGAAATTTTGGTGTAGTCGATTTTTGGTAAAAAAGGAAGGTTATACACTGCCTTTTTTTGAGCCCCGAAAAAAAATGGTCTCAGATCGACCCGGAAAAAAAATTTTCTTATAGAATGTGGCCTGTAGAATCCATAATTTCAAACAGTTCCAAGATTGGGCTACTAGTTTAAAAGTTACAGCCCTTTGAATTTTTTTCGAAATTGGTTTCTAGTCTATAACTTTTGATTGAGAAGTCTGATCGAAAAAGTACGAATTGATTTGGATTCTACGCACCAAAATTAATAAGAAAAAGTGTTTTCCCGAGAAATTTTGGTGCAGTCGATTTTTGGTAAAAAAGGAAGGTTATACACTGCCTTTTTTTGAACCCCGAAATAAAAATTGTCTCAGATCGACCCGGAAAAAAATTTTCTTATAGAATGTGGCCTGTAGAATCCATAATTTCAAACAGTTCCAAGATTGGGCTACTAGTTCAAAAGTTACAGCCCTTTGAATTTTTTTTCGAAATTGGTTTCTAGTCTATAACTTTTGATTGAGAAGTCTGATCGAAAAAGTACGAATTGATTTGGATTCTACTCACCCAAATTAATAAGAAAAAGTGTTTTCCCGAGAAATTTTGGTGTAGTCGATTTTTGCTAAAAAAGGAAGGTTATACACTGCCTTTTTTTGAGGTCCCAAAAAAAAATTGTGTCAGATCGACCGGAAAAAAACATTTTCTTATAGAATGTGGCCTGTAGAATCCATAATTTCAAACACTTTCAAGATTGGGCTACTAGTTCAAAAGTTACAGCCCTTTGAATTTTTTTTCGAAATTGGTTTCTAGTCTATAACTTTTGATTGAGAAGCCTGATCGAAAAAGTACGAATTGTTTTGGATTCTACGCACCAAAATTAATAAGAAAAAGTGTTTTCCCGAGAAATTTTGGTGTAGTCGAATTTTGGTAAAAAAGGAAGGTTATACACAGGGGCGGACTGGGTACTTACTTAAAGTATTAGTGTAGTAATGAAGGTGCCGGGGGGGGGGGGTAGCTCTGAGGTGCACCACAAAAACATTTTAATGTACTCCTTTCTCGAAAATCAATTACCATACAGTTTTTTTTTAAATTGCAGCTGATAATTAAAAGTAACAAAATATTACAATCCACACGAGGTGCGTCGCCTATCATTGTATTTCAGCACTTTCATGCTACGACAAAAAAAGATAAATTCATTGTAAAACACTTTAAAACAGAATTTTTAACAACCTTAATAGACCCGATACAATTAAAGGATTAAGCACTCGTATAAGAGCCGAAGAAAGCAATATTCCTTCGGAAGCAATTCAAAATACCATTGATGAATTCGATGTTCGGCCATTGCCTTACTGTTAACGGGAGACATTTTAAACATTTCCTTTTGCTATTGTTTTTTTTTTGCTGAACAAATCTGCTTTCTTTTTAGTGCATTTCTTGTTATATGTATTGCAAATAAAGATGGTAAAAATTAAATTTTGGGTTTTTTCCATTTCTTCTAAAAGTATCATTTAATACTAAAAAATGGAGGTGCTATTTCAAAAAATAATCGATGACCTCT